ACACACACACACACACACACACACACACACACACACAAAATATTTGCGACAAGCAGATAACGAGTAACCGAGCCGGACGAGGAGAAGACGATGGCGAAATCGGCAGCAGGAAGGCGACATCTTTCAAACGCGCAACCCTCGTCGAGGTGCCTCGGCGTCGTTTATTAGTTCATAGACCGGATCGGATCGTCTTCCGACGGGTCGAACGAGAGCTGGTTTAGGTTCCTCCAGACAAAATGCAAATCTCCCGGCGGCCCGCTAATCTGTCTGGCGCATCCGTGACGTCAGGCTCCATTGGCGGAGACATATTTGCCATTTAGATCGTCCTCCTAGATTCCTTGTTCTCGGCGCGCGTCGTCGACCGAGTTGTGAACCGAGTTGGACGACTCGGTTCTTCGACTCGGCGCTTTGTCTTTCGCACTCGTGTGCTCTACGCTACCGGAGAGATTGTCGAGCAAGTGGCATCTTGGCACTCGTTCGATTCCGAACGAGGATCGTACGAGGCTAGGACAGATTAATAGACACGTCGTCGTATCGTTTGGTGCATTGCACGCGAGGAGAAAGCTCGACGCCTCTGCAGACTATACTCTCGACGACCCTCCGCGTGCGTATCGTATTAAATGTTGCGTGCCGTGCATGAGACCTGCCTCTTCCTATGCTGTCGTCCACCGTGCATTCGCGCATAGTGCGCGACATTGTTGTCGTAGGTGCGCGTGAAACACCGCTTCCACGTACGTAGAAGTACGTAGAAGTCCGTGCACCGAATATCATACGAAAAGATTCAAAGACAGGATGCAAGACTCTGCTGCAGACGAAAAGACAGACAGAGTGATGAAACGTATCGGCTTAGACACACGCTTCATTCCCAGTCGCACGTGTTTGCGTTGATTTGCGATGGAAAACGAGTTCAGAGGTTGCGTACGTGTCGATCGGAGCTTTGATTTACGAGTAAGAGTTGAAGGTGAATCGATCGCGTTATTACGAACTATCTTCAAAGTAAGTAAGAAGAAAATTTCGAAGAAGGTTGCGAAGTAGTACTGTAGGTGAAGCGAGACGTGCGATCTCTGCCTGTTACGCTTGGTACTCCAAGATTCCTCGAGACGCGCGTACGTGCGACGGAACGCACGAGTACTTATCTTCCAGGTCCGGTGGCCGTTACTTTGCCGGCTGGTACGCGAAATACTCTCGAACGGATTATTGTACCGGACAACTCGCTGGCACATTCGTGCCTGGCAATGATATTGGCCTGTTTCTTCCTTTCAAGAGAGACGAGATCTGCCTTTCTTTCCAGTAAGACAGTAAGACGCTACGCGGATTCTCTCTCAGTCTGTGCCAGAGAGTGAGGTTGCGAGGCCCCAGAGTCGGTCGAAAGAGAGTCGGCGAAGGTGGAGAGCTAATCACCACGCAATCACCGGTGCGCGCGGGCAACTCCGACCCGTTCTGAGAAAGCAGCAACCGCCTTTTGCCGCCGTCGGGCATTCACCACTGCGGTACTCTCGGCCACGGCAAAACCAACAATCTTCGTCCTCAGCCTCCGCGGGAAAAAAGCCTCCTCTCCACCGTCCACCCTCTTCTCCGCCTCTTTTCTCCAAATCACCGGAGGGCCGACCGATCGGCCGACTACTGGCATCCGGGGAATCCATCGCGAGAATGGCGGCGATTCCACTTTGAGAACCGATCGACAGACCTCGAACGTACGTTATTAAACAGCGGCAGAGTGAGCAATCTTGTTCCGAGCACGACATTGCCCGGAATGCGGATCATTCGGACAACGCCGTTGTTGTTACAAAATAAACGTGGAGGTTGCGATCTGAATTCTTCTCTTTCGACTCACCCTGTCCCGTTTCATCCATCCTTTCCTCTCTCTTCCTTCTGTCGGGATTATTATTGACGAGACAATTTTCCATTTTTCATCCACCGATTGCGAATCGTCGAGTTTCTTTCTTTCTGTCAATAGACAACAGATATAGACGACCGAAACGTTGAAATTCATCGTTTTACTTCCGAGGCAAAGCTTCTTGTTGTTGTTAGACGATACTTGCTTAAAGTGAACAGACTTTACGACAAAAAAACAGGGGCGGTTCGAGTCGATTTGAACGATCGTTGCTCGGCAGAAACGTAGACAATACGGGGTGTAGATTTAACGGCGCGACGGTTGCGTGCACCCACGCAGCGTGTACGCGTATGTATATCGGACGATACGACTCGGCGCGAAACGAGCGCAGCGGTGTGCGACGGAGAG